AAAAAAAAAAAAAAAAAAAAAAAAAGTAAGACTATAAGAATTAAGATGTTTAAAATCTCTAGAAGGAAAGGTAATTTCCAGATAAGAATAAATTGAATGAAGTATTATTGGACATATTTCTTCTCCTAGGTGGCCTATGGCCAGGATTCAAATCATATAAACTTATATATGTCACTGGTTTGTGTTAAACTTATATATGTCACTGGTTTGTGTAATGTTTGCTCATTATCATAGCATATTAATAAGAACCAAGAAACTAAATAGCTTTATGCTCACAGTGATGCAAAGAAACAATAACTTAGTATATAGCTTTACATAGGCATAATGAAATAAATTTATACTTCCTGTCTTGTAAAAAATTTTGACCAGAATACAGATAGATCCCTTTCTTGTGCAGACCTATCAGCAGATGTGTGCCTTAGGTTACATAACTTCCCTTCCTAGATCAGGAAATTAGAGATAATTAAAGCCTCAGTGTGAATATAATTTATATCTCAGATATGCCCCTAACTAGTCAAACCTAATGACTGCATCTGTATTTGTTCATGGAGAAAAATTAATGTTACCATGATCCCTGACTTCTCCTAAATCCATTCATTCTCAAGTCAGCAGAAAGTATTTATTCTCAGGTCAATACTAGACAGTGCTACTGCTCACAACACAGATTGCTTCCTGCTTTTTTACTCCATTTTTCATAAAGGTACTTCTGTATCTTTATTCAAAACCCCATCCTGGTAATCCTCCAACTCATCAGGGAACTTGCTTTCCAATTTCCCTAAAATAAAAGTGACTATTTAAAAAGTCTTGTTTATTTGCGTTTATTTCTACTTTCATCCATCTACAATTTCTTTCTTAATATCTCAGAAAATTATACCTTTGATTTTCACTGCTGATACCATCTTGACTCATGCCCTCTGTAACTATGACCCACCAATTATCTCCTGCATCTTACACCTTTCAGATTTTCTCACCACTAGATTCTGTTTTAGGATTACAAATAAGATCAGATCTTTCAATAAAAACTAAAACCTAAACCTCCCAACCCAAAACTCTTCAGCTGAGTGTAAATATTTACCTTTTATCAGTGAGGATATGGAGATAAAATCACTTTAACACACTACTAGAAGAACTGAAAGTTGGAATTGTTTTTTTGTAAATGATTTGTCAATACAGAATAAAAATGCACCCCTCCCAATATTTCTACTTTATTTTTTTTTTTTTTTTTTTGGTTTTTCTCTGGTACCGGGAACCGAACTCACGACCTTGCGCTTGCCAGGCAGGCGCTTTGCCGCTGAGCTAAATCCCCAGCCCCTTCTACTTTAAAATTTTATTGTACAGGACTACATGAGCAACAACATGAGAATATTCATTCAAGGATGGCTACTGCAGAATTATTTGTAATACTGAAAATATAATACAATAAATAAATGATGGTACATATCCATTGTAAGGATCATTATTCAAACATTAAAAAGAATAGTTCTTCATACTAATGTGGAAAAACTTCACGATATGCTATTAAATTAAAACAGTTTGCAATAACAGAACACAGAATGTAATCTCAAAATTTTGGATGGAAAAATGTCAAACTGAAAAAGAAAAACAGAAATAGGGTGACTGGGAGAAGGCGTCTATATTTTAATTTATGTAATTATGAATGTTTTAATTTCTTCTAGTAGGCAGATATTTTTGCAATCAAATAACAAAAACCTTTCAACACCTCTCTTCTACTACCATTTTCTCTCTCCTTCCCGTCTCTGCCGAATTTCCAGAAAACAGTAATTTATTCCAACCAACATACCTACTAGAACTAGATTCTAAAGAACAAATCAAAGACTTTTCTTTAAAATCTTGCTCTTTGCCAGGCTGATTTTCCCACAGCAACTGGGATAATTTCTTACAACTTTTTTTCCTGGCCTTCATAATACATTATCCTGACTGGTACCTAGTTTCAGGAGGCTTCTACTTAGACTCTTTTACTGAGAACTCTCCTAATTCCTTCCCCTTCTCATGTAGGCATTCCTGAGGATTCTGTAATATTCTTGTTTGCTTCCTTAACATTTGTTGCCACACCTCTGTATCTTTCATTGAGGTTTCTAAACAGTTTCTTCTAGCTCACTTCTCCAACACTGATACTTGAAAAAGCATACAGTAACAAGGCGTAAAGGAATATCTGGTCATCCTTCCAAAGAAAAGTATCACTTTAATTATGACACTAGTGCCTCCATCTCTTTCCATCCTTACTTAGCAATGCCATATCTTCTCTGCCACTGGCAGGTGGGAGTGGGGCTTCACTTCCTTGATTTTTACTTTCTTTATTTCTGCTCAGTAAACTGGCAGATCAACATTCATTTATATATTCATCTGATATTTACTGAGGATAAACTTTATAGTTCTGATATGTGCTATGGGTCTGGGGTGGACAAAAAAAGGACAAACAAACATTTACTAAGTACTTAATATATGGTAAGTTCTGGGTATAAAAAATATCAGCAAGACCTAGTTCTTGTTCTTAAAGTGATTTAATGGTGGAAACAGAGATGGGAACATAATTTTTAACACAATGTGATAAGTGCTATATTCAGGAATATGCAGCATGTTATGGGGACACAAAGGCAGAGAACCTAGTTCTGTCTGCATACAGCAGATTCCTGAAACATTCAGACTCAATCTTACAGGTAAGTGGGGGCTAAGGAAGCACGGAAGAGTGTTCTAGGTGGAAGAAAACAGTACAATAGGGCACCAGGCTGAACCCGGGACATCTTCAAGAACCGCAGTGAGCCGCCCTCGCACCTCCCCCACTAGTGTGCAAGGCAGGAGGAGCCCTAGACACCTTCTAGGGCCTTGGTGGCCACTCCACACACCCCTAGTGTGCCTGCGGGTGTTGGGCTAAACCCCAGACATCTTCAGGAACCCAGTGAGCCATCTCCATGCCTCCCTGACTAGTATGCAAGGCAGGTGGAGCTCTAGACACCTTCTGGGGCCTCAGTGGCCACTCCCAGCACCACCCATACCCACCAGGGGAGCTGAGATGAAACCTGGACAGAGTCAGTGGCCTGAGGGAGGACTCTACCCCCACCCCTCCCCTGCCCACGTGGGAACCGGGCTGGGTCCCGGGCAACATCTGAATCCTCCATGACCATGACCTGTAACCCCCAACCCTTGTGGAAGCTGAGCTGAACCCCAGGCAGCTCCAGGAACTCCAGTAAGCCTCCCCCACTTCTCCCCCACCAGCCTGGGAGCCAATTGAATGCAAGAAAGTTTCAGGAGCATCTGGGACCCCACCTTGCCACCACACACCAGCATAGGAGCCACACTGAGCACTGGGGATCTTCGGATCCTCTCCCTGCCACTCCCACACCATCATGGGAGTGAGGCTGCACTTCAGGAAACCTCTGGATCTTCAAAAATGACAAAATGAATGAGAAAAATGGAATCTCAGACCTCTACCCCACCCAGAACAAGTCCAGAAGACATCAACACAGAAGAGCCTGGAAGTCATACACCTGAAATTTCTCAAATGATAGCAACTAAAGTAAAGAAGCAACTCCATCAGGCCACAGAAGACATCAGATCAGAAATAATGTTTCAGGTAAAAAAAGAAATGACAACAATAATGAAAGAATTGCTCAGCACATCCAAAGAAGACTGGTAAGAAAACAGAAGAGCATAGAAAACTTATGGAAATCTTGAGTGCACAATATAGAAAAGAGCTAGAATACATGAAACAGATTCAAACAGGTATCCAGGAAATCAAAAATTCCATTGAAAGCTGGCGAAACCATCTGAACGAAGCTGAAAATAGACTTTCAGACCTTGAAGACAGCATCGACACTAACAAATGTGAAAGGAAGTATTTCTTAAAAGTATCAAGGAACCAGGAAATAACAATTCAACAACTGCAAGTTGAAGCAAAGAAAAACAGTGTCAGGTTAATAGGTATCAATGAAACAGCAGGTATCAACACAAATGATATAAAAAGACTATTTGCAAAATAATGGCAGAAAATTTCC